CAGCAGTTGAATCAACTGGCGCTGAAGAGAAGTCAGCAAAACTCTCCAAGCTGGCTTCAAAATCGGTGACCTCAGCCAAAGCTGGGTGTAGCACCATCACTGATTCTTCTTCTTCAGCTTCTACATCATCCTCCTCTTCTGCTGTTGCCTCTGCTTCTTCTACTGTTCCTCAGGGTGCCAGAGTGAAACAGGGAAAGGACCAGAATAAGGCTAGACGTTCCCGTTCTGCATCCAGCCCCAGTCCAAGAAGGAGTAGCAGGGACAAAGAACCAAGTAAAACAAGTGGCTCTTCAAAGTTTGACTGGGCTGCTCGATTCAGCCCAAAAGTTAGTCTGCCTAAAACAAAACTGTCTCTACCAGGCTCTTCCAAGTCAGAGACATCAAAACCTGGACCTTCAGGACTACAGGCTAAGCTAGCAAGTAAGTTGTTCTGTTGTGGAAGAATAAGTATGTATGTTTTAAAAACAAGTCTTCTAAACAAATACTTCTGTTGTTTTCAGGCTTCTTGGTATCTTCTTAGAGAAATTGCATTCTGCTGAGCTTTTAAGTAAAGCTGTGACTAACTGTTTACAGCCAAAACAAATTATTTGAGTGCAGTCAGTGTTCTATAAATTTAAGTTGCTTCTCTGTCTTGCAAATCAATTTTAAAAAGAAAATATATGCAAAATAGTTGGATGTTGTGATGGGGACATAGATGTTATAAAACTCCCTTGATCATATTCCTTCTGTTAGATGTTTTTTCTCATTTTCTTAAGCTTTCTGTCCCGAAGTAGGAATATTAAATGCTGGGAGAAAAAGTATATAATCTGTGGTTTCTTGTTTCAAGCCCACTTTCCTAGCTTTTCCTTACTGTGAGAATCTCTGATGTTACTTTAAGAACAGTGATCTCTTAAACCTAGTGTACTTAGTGCCTGGGACGTTAGCCACTTTATCTTTTAAATTGTTCCTTCAAGATAGATTGTGTCTCTGCTGAATATGAATACAAGTTACTGTTCTTGGACATTGTCACTAAGAAATATAGGCTGTCTCCAAGCAGAGCACCTGCTTGCTAGTGTGCAGATAGGCTTGTAGCTCTGCTGCCTTAAGCAAAACTTTCTTGAAATGTGCTATGCTGGCTTTGTGTACTGTATGATTTACTTATAGCATGTATTCTCCAAAACTTGATTTAAGAAGTTGAATTCCTAAGCTTGTTTACTGTTGTTGTTTTACCTAGACATGATCACAAGTAGTGTGTCCCAACTGGGGCATGTCTATAGCTAATACTAATGCAGGAAATATGTGAAACAAACAAGAACAACTGGATGTCTTCCTGTATAATCAAAATAGATGTAATTGACCTAATAGGCTTGTTTTGGATAACTTGCATGACTGGAGTATTGATTCTGGAATGACCTAACCTAATTGAGGAAGAATGGCATTGGGGAAGGGGAGTGAGTTATTTTATAGCAAGGTTTTATCTACCTGCTCCACGGTTCAACACTTCCTGGGTGATGAATTCCAAAGTAAAAATTCTGAACTTGCGCATTGTGGAGTGAGGGGAAAATGGGTAGGAATCGGGCAAGAATGGGACTGACCAACAAGTTATTAGCAAAGTTTGTCCTTGTTACAGGCAACTTTTTAGCAATGTAGAAAAGAAACAGGGAGGAGAAAGAATTTACCTCCAACAAGTGAACAATGAGAAGCTGAAGGCAGAGAGTAATTTATGTGACCAGTTAAAAAACTTCAGCAAGGACTGAGAAGTGGAAGGGTGGGATAGCACAATGTAAGGAGGGGCATGTGTTGAGTAGCTTGAAAAACAACATTGAGAATATGAGCCTAAACTGTCTCCACAAAAAGTACGGAGAAAGCTTACAGGAAAGACGGGGATGAACTTGTTAGCAGGGTCTGTTGTGATAGGACAAGGGGTAATGGCTTTAAACTAAAAGAGACTAGTTTTAGACTAAATATAAGGAAGAAATTTTTTACACCGAGGGTGGTGATACACTGGAATAGGTTGCCCAGAGAGGTAGCAAATGCCCAGTTCATGGTCAGGTTGGACAGGCCTCTGAGCAACCTGATCTAGCTTTAGCTCTTCCGTGAACCTTTTTTGCAGAAAGGTAAACTTAAGTTGAACTAAGATGTGCAAGTATATGACACAAAACTGAGTCGGTATGGACTGTAGGTATGGGTGTGTATGTATAAAAAGTCACTGGTAAGGGGCAGAAAGCATGATGAGAGACATTTCTAGACTCAGTGGAGGTTAAAGTTACATTCTCTAGATGGTGTCCCCATTTGAGGGTGGGAGGGGGAAGTACTAACAGGTGATACTAGGAAGTCTAAAATGTCTAGTGCCTCTTTATTTTACTCTAGATTACAGCAAAACTTATTCCAATGGCTATTATATTGAACATCCTCCACCTGGGTTGGGGCAACCCCCCTATCAATACAGGTTGGGGGGTGAAGGGATTGAGAGCAGCCCTGCCGAGAAGGACTTGGGGGAACTTAGGGATGAAAATGTGGACATGAGCCAACAATGTGTGCTCGCAGCCCAGAAGACCAACTGTATCCTGGGCCACATCAAAAGTAGTGTGGCCAGAAGGTTGAGGGAGGTGATTCTGCCCCTCTGCTCTGCTCTGGTAAGATCCCACCTGGAGTACTGCGTTCTGTTCTGGGGCCCCCAACGTAATAAGGACATGGGCCTGTTGGAGCAGGTCCAGAGGAGGACCACGAAGATGATCAGAGGGCTGGAATGCCTCTCCTATGAGGACAGCCTGAGAGAGTTGGGGTTGTTCAGCCTTGAGAAGAGAAGGCTCCAGGGAGACCTTATTGTGGCCTTCCAGTACCTAAACGGGGCCTACAGGAAAGGCAGGGGTGAACTTTTTAGCAGGGCCTGTTGTAATAGGACAAGGGGTAATGGCTTTAAACTAAAAGAGACTAGTTTTAGACTAGATATAAGGAAGAAATTTTTTACGCTGGGGGTGGTGACACACTGGAACAGGTTGCCCAGAGAGGTGGCAAATGCCCAGTTCATCGTCAGGTTGGACAGGGCTCTGAGCGACCTGATGTAGTTGAAGATGTCCCTGCTCATTGCAGGGGGGTTGGGACCTTTAAAGGTCATCTAGTCCTTCCAACCCAAAGTATTCTGTAATTAATGATCAGAGTAAGTGATTATACTGAAGATCACTAAGAGTAAGAACCCAACCTAGAAGTGAAGACAAGTGTTGAACTTTATGATATTTTCAAATAGTCTCAGCCTTTCAAATATTGTATTAGAGCTCTTTGAATCAACAGTAACTATTGTTAGCTTAGCCTTTTTTTAAAAAAACAAGAAAATAATTTGTCTGTCATACAGCTTCACTAACTTGAAAATATTGGGACAAATTTGAAGTATTTGAAGAAAATACATATTTTGGATAATGCTGAGAAGTGTCAAGAAAATACTAAGAAAATAAACCTGCAGGATAGGTTTTTAGGGAAGAATGGGTAAGTTAGAACTTGTTATCTGTAGCAAGCTACTACCCTTAGGGGGTAAGGGAGCAGAAGTACCTGATTTTTCGCACAAATATCAACACTTCTAAAGCTTTCTAAAGCAGTAAGGCAAACGGTGATCTAGATTAAATTATTGAGGTGTACACCCTTCTGCCTGGAAACATGTCTTACAAGTCATAGCAATCCTGTGTAGAAAGTGAAGGCTAAAACTTGGTGGGCTTGTATAGGGATATTATATGAAACAGGTGTTTGAAGAAGTTTGATATAGGGCTTATGGAACTAGTGGGAGGTAAACAAAAACCAAACATGCAAATGTAGGTTTGTAAGGAGCTCTGGAAACTTCAGGAAAAATTAGCGGAGGGAGTGGTTCTAGGAAGAGAAGTGGGAGGAGAGGGGAGATTATTCCAGCCAGCATACAGTTGGTCATGTCTATATAAATGCAAGGCTGTTCACTTCTGGGTATTACAGTTGAGGAAGTACAAGAAGAATTATTAGTAGTTGTGATCTTTGAAGGAAAAACCGGAAGAGCTGAGCTGGCTTACTCTGCTGAAGAGAAGAATGAGGAGAGACATGGTTGCCATCTTTGCAGAAGCTTTTCACGTATTGGAGGGTAATACCCTGAGGTTTCTTACCCAGTCCTCACTGGATAATTAATAGATGTTAAATACAGCCAAGGTGACTTTCAGTCTTCAGCTACACAGTCTGTAACTGAGCAGTGACATCACTGAATAACTGCGATAGAATTTGTTGGAAGAATAAAACCAGGGTAGATAAAGTTTTTCCCCCCTATTTTTGTAGCTAAATATTTCTTTGTGGGTATGGGGAAGGGCAAGTTTCTTGTTTTGCTCTCTTGATTTGACTTTTTTCACAGCTCTTTCAAGCCCTATATTTTGTGGGGGCTTTTTCAATGTTGCAAATTGGATCATCTTGCTGATTATGTAACAACATAAAACTAAGCTCAATTATGTCTCCATTATTAGGGAAATTTGTACTGCCCTTTGCGTAGTGTCTTGTGGCCCTTAAACAGGAAGAAGCTGGCAGTGATGGCTGGGACAGTGCTGAGAGTAGGATAGCTGTCCCTGACTGAGAAGCCTCTTCCTAATACTTTAAAATTTGGGGAGCTGGAGAGGTTATTGGGGCACTGTGAAAGCCACATGAAGGTAAACATGGAGCCTGAATGGTGTATAACTGCTGGCTTCAGGGGATTTGGCAGCAGTGAGGGAGAAAAGAATCTGAAAATAGCTCTGAATTAGTTTAGTTTAGTTGGGATTGTGGGTGACAGTGCTGTCTGTCACGGTTGTTAGAGCCATAGAGTTGTGGACTTGGGACTGAGGAAATAAGATGACTAGTTTGGAGATGCCTGGGATAATTGCGGTGATGAGCTGTGTGAAGCTATAATCAAGAGCTGGGGATGTCTGGGTTGGTACTGAGGGAGGGGAATAGTGGAGTATTAGAATGACAGGAGGTCCTCTTGCCTTCCCCTGCCATAGCTATTTTCACCCTATCTTTATTGCGTGAGGAGGAGAGCAGCCCAACACAGGAGCCAGTCTGGAGTCTAAACTTCCAGTCCTAACAAATCTCTACTGATTATCTGTCTGAACTGCAAATAAAGGGCTTTCTAGGTTATGGACTGTGAAAGTTTGACTAACTTTGTTTTGGCTTGAGTAATACACACAGACTTAAAATAAGTGAATGCAGTACAGCTGCATTCAGAACTAGTTTTGTTCATGCAACAAAAATGACTTAAAAAAAAAAAGCTGACCAGTAGACACACTCAAATGTGAAGGTGTTCTTAAGACTTTTTTCATTTGATTTCTGTTAAGCTGGGCTCTTTCAGGTTTAGCCTGTCTGGGTATATTTTCCTTCAGAGTCATTAACATAAGTGTTTGGCATGCAAATAAGATGATGTCAGGGCATAAGCAGTATATATTTGTCATAAGAAAACATATACTTCTGTTTTAATTCTGAAGTTTACATCTGAAGTTTTTGCAATTGCTGAATATGAACTGCTTAAACCTAATCTTCTTTTGATTTATTGAAAGTCCATCACTGTTCATAACTTTTACAAGCTCTTTGAAACAGATCTCTTGACGATAGCTCTGTATATTACAGAAGTGGTGCTGAATAACTTCTGGAGATGAACATGAAACCAATTCCCCTGAAAGCCCTTGCTGTCTGTCTGTGGTGGTACGACCGGTGCTTTCCTTTGTCAGGCAGTCACAGGGCATCTCTAATCCTGTCTCTTTGCATGTGGTTGTGCCCTGTTTACCAGTGAAGGCTTGGGGCTGTTAGCCTCCTGCAGCTCCTATAGATGGAAGACTAATAGTCAGTAGGTCATGCTGGCAGTGTGTTAAGGGGGAGATCAAATTTTGAGGACAATGCGAGTGAAAGGAAGAAGGTTCAGTCCTACACTGATGAAATTAGCAGTCCTGAGCTTATGGTATTGAGAAGACTCAAAGGATTTGCAAAAGATGCAGGTGGTAAGACAGACTTAAGAAGCCTTTTTAAACAATAAACTTTTAGGACAGAGAGTGGCATTGAACATCAGGAAGGCAACAAGCTCTCAAAAGTCTTTCATTGCTCCTTTTTTAGCCTTCAAAATTAATAGTGGGAGGTGGAAGCTTATATGTGCCCCTGGTAGATACATCAGAAGTAGAGAAATAAAGACTTGGGAAAAGAGAAAGATGCAAAAAGATCTGACAAGTAGAACATTCTTCCTGAGCAGCAGGAGAAAATGAGCTCAAACTCTTCTGGGTGCTCAGGCTGTGATGTATTCGGCAGTTCATTCATCAAGCAGTAACTGGGTAACTCCTTACATTCTCTAAACCCGTTACTAACATAATTCAGTTTAAAGAGATGGCTTAGCTAATTTAATGCCTCTTACAGAAAAGGACAACCCATTTCACAGCTGCATTGCCCTACTGTTTTATAGTGTCTGTGCTCATCTGACTGGTATTAAGCAAGCTCAGCACACCAAACTGGCAGAATACAAGAAAGTGTGTATCAGGTGTGCAGTTTGTGCATCTTGGGACTGGTTTGGGGACAATGAGACATGAGTGAGTGTACCATACTGTTAAACTAAGCTAGCTCTGCTGATTGGTGAAACCTTTGCCCTTAGTAGAAATCCTATTTTGATTGAGGTTGAGTCAATCTTACTTCATTTACAGTGGGTGTGTGTGGTGTCTCATTTATAGCCTATTACTAAGCTGATATGAAATTACTTAATATTGAGGTCTGACTACTTGAAAATGAGTACCCACAGATTGGTAGTAAGCGGCATGCTGACATAAAGAATTAAAATGTATTTGTATGTTTTTCCAGTGAACTGTAACAAGGTGATTAACTTGTACGTTTGCTTTATATTTAGAAGAATATGTCACGTCGAATTTCACCATAATGTTGTAGGTACTGAGTAGCCTACTTTTTCATATATGTAATATGAACTCAGAGTGGTAAACACGTTTTATTTGTAGAGTAATATAGTGTTACACCTAATGCCAGTTGAAGTTTGCATTTTATAGCTGGTTACATTTTACACTAGGAGGGGAGTTTTGTTGTATCTGTGAACTTCTAGTACTTGAGAAGCTTAGGTAGCTATGGCATGGGATCCTGCTACAACTGTTCCAAACTGGCTTTGTTTTCTATATCACTCTATAACACACTGCTTTTCTTCCCCCCTCCTTGTGAGTGTCTTACTATATGTAAATAGGGTTGGAGTCATTGTGTATTTCTGTTGTAGAAACTTCAAATTCAATTTTTGGTTTGAAAGCATAAATAGTAAAAATGTGGCTGCTTTTCTGAATATTTGAAAAAGTTACATATTGTTCTGTATGTATAGACCATCTGAAAATTGAAGTAGCTGGCCTGCTTCAGTTCAGTGCTTGCTGGCTGTTAAATACAGAATCTTGTTGTTTTCTTAAGGTTGCCAAATTTGAGTTAGTAAGCCAGGTGTGTGGTGACTACATGAATATCAGGTTAATCTTCATCTGCGTGGAACTTAACTGCACACAGCATTGTGTTCCTGGGCCAAATATAGTATAGTGCTTGAAAGGGCAGACTATTCACCCAGGTCAATAATAGCTTTTCAGATCACTTTCCTTTTTTCTGTTAACTATGCAGCTTCTGACTTGGATATTTATCATTTCATCCCTCAGTACCACAGCTCAGCATCCCTGGAATGTTTTAGGATTAAGGAAATAGACAGGAAGCAATTTGATAGGTACTCTACTCAAAAACACTGCACATATAATATGTTTTATTTTGACTTTGTTGCCGGAAGAGGGAGCAGTGACCTAACTTTCTCATCTTTTCAAAGTTATTTACATCTGTTCTAGTAATAGTATGTCTAAATTGAATGTTACGCAGTTCTCTTATTTATTGTAGAGGCAGGGGGGACTGAAATGTAAAGCTGGGCCGGATAAGAATTTTTAATTTTTAACACTTTAATTATCATGCTTCTGGTTTGGAAGCTGTTATGGGATATTTCAGCCTGATAGTAAGCTTGCTGTGAAAAGTAAGAATGTTGTATTGCATGGGGTTTTTCATGTGTTTAAGATTTACCTGGTTCTGTGGTGGGATGTGTCATCAGAACAATAGCTTTATAACCTAGAGATCAGTTGGGCCAGTCTTCAACAGTGCACATACTTCTAAATTGAGAACTTGAGAACTCCTTTTTTTTAAAGCTGTGAAGATATGCTTGGTTATTTGCCTCAAGGAAGACCATATGACAGGGATAGGGGTTGAAAGGATGTAGTTGAAATAGGAACACAAATAATACATGTGAGAGATCTCAGCACTGGCATTGTTTGGCTCCTGGAGGGGAGCATGGTTTTGATTTAAGGCAGTTATTTTTAAGCCATACTAACGTGAATAAAACTGACTAAAAAATTATGAATTGGCTGGGGAAGAAGACTGAGTTTATGTTGTACAGATTTATTCAGAGGTGGGGGAAAACAGATGGAACCAACACTGCCCTTCTGCCCAAATGTAATCTTTTTCTTTCTTTTTTGTCTTAAGCTAAAGTATTTTCTTTTAAGTGTTTTGAACATCAGCATGTGGAAATAATAAAACTGTATGTATCCCATAATGTGATATCTGTTTGGCATGAGAGACTAGCTCTTCTATAACTGTAGTGTGTAGGTTAGGAAAAGGTGTCTAGGTAACAGCTTGGAGTTCAGTATTAATTAATTCAAAATAATGACGCAAAAAGCAAATATCTGAACCTTTTTTTACTGGTATAGCAGTTCAGTGTAAGGTAAGTAAAAGCTGATTGATGCAGGCTTATTGTGGTTCTTATGTAGAAGCTGTTCTATATAGAAGTTTCCAGTACACAGCAGTTTCATTTCTTTGTAGGACTGCTGTGTATTTAAAGACTGACTTACTCTCAATTCTTTACGTATTACATAGGTCTAAGAAAATCTACAAAGAAGCGTAGTGAGTCACCACCTGCTGAGCTCCCCAGTTTGCGGCGGAGCACACGGCAAAAGACCACGGGCTCCTGTGCTAGCACCAGGTAAAACTTGAGATAATGAAACATAATTGCAGTGGGTTGATATTAATGTCATTTTCATCCATGAAAACTGGCCTTGTCTGTCTCTTACTTTGATGTTGTAGAAGTAGCTGTAGCTTTTCAGGCATGCTGGGTGTCTCTGTACACCAGTGTCATGGATAGCGCATAGAATTTGTCATCATTAGACCTTCAATAAGTCCCTTAGGTGTTGGGGTGGAGGGAAAGAAACATCCGAAGCCAATATCGCAAATTTAAGTAATCATTTGCTTAGGGAGGTATTGTTCAAAAAGTTACTAAACGCGAAGAGCGAGAGTGCTAAACTACTGTCCGTCATGAATAATGAAACAGATGACTAATTTGAAAAATAAGACTTCATGGTACCACACAGGAGTCTGTTTTAATAGTTGATGTTGTTAAGCTGACTCAGCTTGTCAGTAGCTGCATCTAAATACTTAATATACTTTCTGACGCAGGGGAAAGTTAGTACTGAATTAATAATTTTAAACAGCTGGTAGATTAAATGGGAGGGGAGGATAAACGTGTCCTGTGATGCAAAAAAAATTTTGTAGTTCCGTATATTCTGAAGTTAGACTTATGAAGCCTTAACAAGCTTTATTTTTTTTTCTTGTGCTGGAACTGCTAAACGTAGTTTAGGCATAACTTCTTTTCCATCTTCCATGCCATAAAAAGAAAGCTTCTGAAGTCTGGTTCTGTTGTCAAGTGTGCATTTGAATTTGACTGTTTTCTTTGTAGGCATATATATTTGTAGTGGTGATGGCAATACTGTTTAAAAAAGCAAATTTAAAAAGGATTGTGCCCTCAAACTTTTTCTGGCACTGAAAACAGAGTTAAACGTCAGAGTTCTCTTTGTGTTTTCAATAGTTCAGAACTTCCATTAAAGATAGTTACTCTGTCATTGAACTTCTCAAATGTGTATGTGATTTGTAATCAATGGTCACTTTAGTCTTGCTCATTTTGACTATTTTTGGCAGTAGACTGCCTTCTCTTGAAGGGTATAATGTAAGGACCTAGCTGTAATGCATTAGTATGAACAAATCACTGCCATGGTGTGGGGCAAGGATGGTAAAGAAGGGTTGAATAATTTTGTGAAGACTGATTCTTATGCAAATCTGTTAGTTTGAGCAACTTCGTGGTAGCGATCTACATAAATGTTATGTGGTTTTGAGTAGTCTTACATTAATAAATCTCTTGTCTTAGTTTGTAACGTCTGAAATCTTGTTTATTGAATCTTTAGTCGGCGAGGCTCTGGCCTGGGCAAAAGAGGAGCAGCTGAAGCTCGCCGACAGGAGAAGATGGCTGATCCTGACAACAACCAGGATGGTGTTAACTCTTCAGCTGCACGTACAGATGAGGCTCCCCAGGGAGCTGCAGGTAAGAAGAAATTCCAACTGAGGCATTTTTAGTATAGCTGCTGATACATGTTGCTCTGCATTTAAAAATAATTAAATGGTTTAAGTTCTGGGGAGTAACTATTTAAGCTGGTAAATAATTCTGGAAGGTTTTTGAGTGATGGGGACCTCTTCTTTTGAATCTGATTTCTTGGATATCTGATACATGTTTTATTTATGCTTTTCGTAGTCTCCAAACTAGGTCTGATAAAGTAGACTTTAATTTTCAGGCATCTACCTCTCCCCCCAAAAAAGTAACTTCAGCTGATGCTGCATAAATTGCTATACTGCCAACTGAAGAGACACCAAACTGTTCATAATACAGAAGGCATGCATTTACCTGTAAAAGCTCTTTTGTAACTACTCATAAATATTCTATGGGTTTTCTGTTGAAATTGCAAGTGTGTCTGTACTGGAGAAACTTGTAACCAAGTTAAATACTCTTATTCGTACAGCCCTATTAAAGGCTACTTAATTTTATCATCTGGTCCTAATTCACTAACTAGGAGTTACTTCAAAGAAGCTTTCCAGCAATTATGGTGTATTGTTGAAAATCTCAAACATTCTCTGCTTAAAGCTAGCTACCACAGTACAAAAAGTCAAAATTAACAGAAATGAGGTGCAATATAACACTCAATTAAGGAATGCATAAATTTACTAAGGATACAGCTAAATCTGTCTGAAAGGTAATTTGCGGATTTGGCTGTACTTCCCCCCTCCCCCCCCTTCTTATGTTGATGTAGCCTCTCTTCAGCTTTTGGAAAGTATTAGACCTGTAGACTGGTCTAATGTTTAAAATGACAATCAGACAGAAATATAATGGTGGCAATGTTAAGTGCAGAGCACTCTTCTGATTGTGGACACTTTCCTTGATGGTGGAATTGATGCCAGTTTTGTAGCTTTAAAGGCACTGTAGCTTGCAGTAATTTCTATTTTATTTTTTCAGCTTCTAGTTCTGTTGCTGGGGCTGTAGGTATGACAACCTCTGGAGAAAGTGAGTCAGATGATTCTGAGATGGGAAGACTACAAGGTATAAAAGCTGTTATTAATTTACTATTCACTGTTTTGTTTGCAGCCTATGAATAGCCATACCTACCCTAATTCTGTATTATACATAGTGGGAAGGCTGTATTTTGTTTCTCTGTGAATGTGTTGCTTTGCTTACAGTAGTTCTCAAGTACGGCATTACAAGCCTTAATTCACTAAAGATGCAAGATGGAAGTAATGTCTGGAGGGGGTGGCATAGTGTCTTTACCTATTTACATGGTGTATAACACACCATTATTGATGATTTTTTCAGGAGGATGTGGGGGGAGAGAATTGAGAACTCAGTCCTATTAAGTGTGTAAGCTCAAATATGAAAATAAGTCTTTGCAAGAATGTTTTCAATTGACAGGCCAGGTTAGGCCTACTGTTACTCTGCCTGCTTCTGGATAACATTTTTTTTTTTGTGCTTGTCATTGATACCCATGTTGCTGTAAGCTTTGACCACACAAAATCTAAATGTTCTTTAAATGCATGCTTTTGTGCTTGGGCTAAAGGATTCAGGTCTCTCAAAACCTGAGAGTACAGACAGGTATAAACTCAGTTTGCATGTCCTACAACTGTTTTAATGATTTTGCCGCTATGTTGCAAGGAGTTCTGAGATCTCCCTTGCAAATGACAGGTTTAGGTTAATCTGGGTATTTAATGTGGAAATGAGTGCTGTGCCACTACCAGTTCACTTGCTTATATGCATTAGGAAAATTGACTTAAATTGTTTTTTACTATTAATCACTATTGTATTGATCAGCAGTAGTCACAGTTGCTACAAGAAAAATCGGAATCACCCACTTAATCTAGCTTAAGTAATACTACTGAAAAGTGTTTGAAAACAAAACCAAAAAAACCCTTCGTATCTAGCAGAGTTCTTCCCTCTCCTGTTCATCACCAAATAAAGCTGTGAACCTTTTTTTCAGTGTCACTTCAGATTAATAGTGCCATACAGTTCCTGAAACTGAAGATAAGCTTAACCTATTTTATGCAGTTTGAGTTCAGATTTGAAATTAGTCTGTTATATCTGCTTTGCTAGATCTAGACTGAGTAGACCAGACTTCTGTGAAATACATAACTGGAAACTCAGTGGGTGACTTCTTAAAGGCCCTTAATGCTCTGATGTGGACAAAAACGAGTTATTTGTTCCCTAAAGTTCATCTTTTTGATGTTTTTTAGAAATCGTGGTAGCTGCAGTCATCTAATCATAACTCTTCTTTCTTTAAAGTGTCAAAATTTTAGTAGTCTTAAATTATAGCATCATGGAATTTAAACTTTTTAAAATATATGCAGAAGCTTTGACAATGGCTGTTATCCTCTGTTTGCTTTTAGCTCTATTAGAGGCTAGGGGTCTTCCTCCTCACCTGTTTGGCCCTCTTGGTCCTCGGATGTCGCAGCTCTTCCACAGGACAATTGGAAGTGGAGCTAGTAAGCAAAGTTTGTCTAATTTGACTTAATTCTTTCCACTTCCAGACTAGTAGAATTCAGCCACTAGTAAATTCTAATATTTGTATTAGCTTCATAGCTTAATATTTTACATGTTGGAGATTTGTATGTCATTAATAGTGCTAGGTCATTGGTCAACAATATTAATTTGCTTGTCTTCCTGTAAGGAAGAGAAATTTGCTTTAATCATATTTCTTTTCTTTTCTTTTATGGGGCATCTTAATGTTCCCTTCTAGGTGGGGAAGGGAGGGTTCTTGCCTTTTCACCCCTTATCTTTTTCTTTTGCATGATGGACTGCTTAACAAAAGACCTCTCCAACCTCCTTGGGTTTTTTGCTAGACTTAAACAAATGCTTAAGCTAGCTTTAAAACTATTAATAGATGTCAGTTCTAAGGTATGCTGTTTATAGTTTCAAAAGTGTCATAGGTTTCAGACAGAAATAATTTCTTATGGACAATGTGTCAGTGAGAACATGGGTCCTTAGTCTTGTTCCACCATGTCTGCATTATGCAGCTGGATAAGAAGTGTACCTTCTAGTCCAAGTCTGGCTTCCCAGGAGAGCCAAAGGCAGCCCATTTCGTTGTTGCCAAGAAGAGGATGGAGTCTCATGGATACTCCATGTGCTGTTATTATCCAGGGGGTGTGTTTAAAAGTCCTTTGCTTTAAAAAGGTGGAGTGCTGTGGGTTCTTGCACCTGCTGTAGGTTGGCGAGATGGCTATGGTGAGCAGTGTGGTGGACTCCCTGTGCTGACCAGTCTGCACTGGAAAGACAGCCAAGAGTGAGATTTTGCCTCCCTTTCCTATCCCTCACTTTTTATGACAGGGAAAGGAAGTGAAACTACAAATACAGAGGAAAACAAACTATCTCTGATCTTCTACTCTGGCAGAAGTATAGCATAACCATTCCCTTGAACACTTATGTTTTCTAATATCTTCTTTCCTAATCTTTTTTTCTGGATATCTAGGTTCTAAAGCCCAACAGCTTTTACAAGGTCTCCAAGCCACTGATGAAAGTCAGCAACTACAGGCAGTGATTGAGATGTGCCAGCTGTTGGTCATGGGAAATGAAGAAACACTGGGAGGATTTCCAGTCAAGAGTGTTGTACCAGCTTTGGTAAAGATTAAATATCATATTTCTATTGGAGGATATAATACTTCACTCAATATCTTGCTTAAATTACATATTCGTTATTTGGGTAATATATTTTTAATTATATATGTGTGTATATATGTATATCTTGTTATTTGGTTTTGAGGGCGTATTTTGATAGTTGTATCAATTCTTTAATAGCTCAAGAATAGGTAGTGGCTCTCTTGAAACTTTTGCCAAAATTCAGAGTCCTGAGTTAAAAGTTATGATACTGATTCATGCCCTTTTTTATATTTGTATCTAGATACTTTTTACTAAACTAACAATACTTTTTTTTAAAAAAACAGATAACGCTGCTGCAGATGGAGCACAACTTTGACATTGTAAGTGATTTGTAATATTTAAGAATTTTTTGAAATACAAAAATGTATGATCTGAACTTAAAAGCAAATATCTATATATTTGATAGATGAACCATGCGTGTCGGGCCTTAACATATATGATGGAAGCACTTCCCAGATCATCTGCTGTAGTGGTAGATGCAATTCCTGTCTTCTTGGAAAAGGTAAAATGAAATCAAAGCAGTGTTAAACTAATCTGAGGGGATTTTATCTTCTGTTTTAACTTCAGGATGTATCATTAGGATAATGGCTTCTTTTCAAAGCTTACAAGATATACATAATACATGAGAAGCTTCTAAAAACCAGTTTATTCTTTGTTCGTGCCCTTACTGAAAAGCACTGTGTGATTTATTGAGAACTTTTTGCCTGATTGGTGTTGCAAAGATACTGTGAAATTGCACAAACTGGTAACTCTTGGAGTAACTATATAGCTGATCTAGCCTTAAATTGGCTAGCTTGATTACAGCTAGCAGTACAGCTGCATTAGCATATGTGTCTTGGGACAGGCTAACTGTCCAAGTGTTAATGAAGATGATTATTTTTACAAACTGGTTTAGAAATTGATCTAGAACCTTCCTTGTTTTCTTGTAGCTGCAAGTTATTCAATGCATAGATGTGGCAGAGCAGGCGCTTACAGCCCTGGAGATGTTATCACGCAGGCATAGTAAAGCCATTCTGCAGGCAGTAAGTAAAAATGAAAGCGCTTTTACTTCTACCTGTTCTACAACTTGGTGATATTCTGTGAAGATGAAATAGGAGAACAACTTTCTGTGATTTATAGCTGTACTGAGAGTGAAAATGTTTATTTTATTATAGGGTGGGTTGGCAGACTGTTTGCTGTATCTGGAATTCTTCAGTATAAATGCACAGAGAAATGCACTAGCTATTGCTGCCAACTGCTGCCAGAGTATAACACCTGATGAGTTTCACTTTGTGGCAGACTCTTTGCCACTGCTTACACAAAGGTTAACACATCAGGTAAGAAGCTATTCTAAAATGGAAAGTTTTAATTTTGACCTGAAAGTAGTATAAAATTGCCTCCAGATACCTAGTTCTCTATTGTGTGTTATTTGCCTTCGCAATGTGATAATTGCTTCAAAGTTTCTATACTGTCAGTTGTGATATTCTAATGTGCATATGGACCTTTGATTTTTTTTGTAAACATGCTGTAAGGATTCGTGACACCCCTGCTAATTTTGTAAAATTAGATAAATAAGGTACTTTAACTTAGAGCATGAATAATAATGGGTTTGTAGTCCTTGTTAACCATCAGTAAGAGGAAATCCAGTAGCATTGCTGTTCTTTTTGCTTAACAAATGCGTTGCAAGGTTCCCTCTCACTTCCAATTCAGAAAAGCTTCAGTTTCAAATTTTGTGGGTTATTTTTTCTGATTTGACTTCTTTTGAGGGCTTACAGCTTTTAAAAAGAAAGTTCCTACATTTGCACAATAGTTTGAAGTGATGAATCCTAAGTCATGGGGCTCCTAAGATCTGCCTATCCTGCAACGCTGCTGCGTTCATAAGTGAGCACTCACAATGACTATTGCACCAAAAGCGATTTGGACATACTGCTTGGTTGGCAGATCCCTGTTAAAAAGGTGAAAAGGGAGAAATTAATTTGTTCCTTAACAAATGCAACTGAATGGAAGCTTCCAGGTAATGGTTTTGTGTCTTCTTGTGCTATTCTTAATTTTGCTAATGTCTTCTTGCTGAGAGACTACTTGAATCTTTGAGGCAGCTTCACAGAAGTCAAATGTCAGCTTTGGATGGTGCTTTGGAAACAGGAAGCACCATTCTCAGCAGTAGTAGGGACAAGTACTGACTCCTGCTCTCTGAAGAGAAGCTACAGCCCACAAAAGTAAGGTTCCAAGAAATTTTGAAGTGGGATTTTTCTGGAAAAAAATAAAATAAAATCTTGAGTTAGCTCTTAACAGAATAGTTGAGGTTGGAAGGGAACTCTTGGTTGTCTAGTCCTAATCCCCTGCTCAAGCAAGGTCAAATAGAACAGATTGCCAGGACCATGTCCAACTGATTTTTTTTTTTTAATTATTATTTATTTATCTATTTAAAAAAACTCCAAGAATGGAGACGTAGTCTATCCTCTTAGGAACTACAGACTTAGCAACCTCTTCCAGTGTTCAACTACCCTTACAGTAAAAGTGTTTATTATGTTCAGATTAACTTTTTTGACTGTTTCTATGAACTCTTAACTAGAGCTATTTTTTAGCACAATCTTTCATATCTTGGTGTCTTTGGATTTGCTGTCTTGGCTGCGCTGTATGATATAAAAATCAGGCTTCATGTAGTCTGTAGAACACTACTAGCCTTCACGCCTGCTTATTATCTATATCTCCTGTTGCTCTGGCTTTATAGCTCTCTTCCCTTTTGTTTCCTCCTTGTAGAAACCAAAAGTAATATTATAGACCCATTTATTCATCTTTAAAGGTCCCTAAAGGTGTTTGTGTTGCAAATGTGAGGTGTTTCCCAGGGAGTATGCCATATCAGGAGGTCGGTTTAGACTGTATCAGTGAATTTAAAGTTCAGAGCTGTAATATTCTGTAAAATGTGATTCAACCGGCCTTTTTGGAGAAATTTTATGAATGCGTCAAATGACAGGATAATCTAATGCAGGTTAAAATATTTTCATTCAAAGAAATACTTAACTTTTTTGTAATAGGACAAAAAGTCTGTTGAAAGCACTTGTCTCTGTTTTGCACGGCTAGTGGACAACTTCCAGCATGAGGAGGTAAGGGTGTGGTTTTTTGGACGTGGATTTTTGTTTCCTCCTTCCCTCCCTCAGTTTCTCCTAAGGGCTTACCTTTCAAAGTCAGACTAACGTTTTTAATTTTGCTGTTCCCTCCTGAAGAACTTGCTCCAGCAGGTTGCTTCTAAGGACTTGTTAACAAATATCCAGCAACTCTTGGTAGTGACGCCTCCTATCCTGAGCTCAGGAATGTTCATCATGGTGGTGCGCATGTTTTCCTTAATGTGCTCCAATTGTCCTACACTTGCAGTCCAACTTATGAAGCAAAGTGAGTTCTTGCTCTTTCATATTCTCGGGAACCTATTTGAGTTAATGCTTGCAGTCACCGTGGAACTCTGTGCACTTGATAATACAAATATTGTGTTCTTTTATTTTTCTCTCCCTTACTGAGCTTCCCCTGGGATACAAAGTTCAGTGAATCTTGTTTTCCTGAGGGGGTTTTTCTCCCCTTTCCGGTCTCTAGCTGTTGTAACTGGAGTGCCTGCCTAATTTGAGTCTGTATTAGCTGCATAGGTTACTCTCATTTCAAGACAAATTTAATAATTCTTTTCATAGTCTTTACAAGGTAGGGGAAATGTGATTTAAGGGCTTGTTCTAATGGAAACCAGTAAGAAAAGTAACAGCTGGGTACCTGTCTTAGTTCTCACTTGTTTTCTTCTTTTCATCTCATAAATTTTGACTTGTCACTTCGACTGCGCTGTATGTTCCCCTGTTTTCTTCTGTGCCCTGTATATTGAGTGATATTTCCCCCCTAGGTGTCCCTTAAAGGAAAGGAACCCAAAACCAAAAAACCCACAAATCCCAGACCTGAGAACAAACATGTTTCTTACAGTGTTCGAAGAGATTGCTTTTGTCTCACTGTCTACTACTGTCTGTTTGCTTAGGGCAGTGACTGTCTCTTCTGTGTAGTGTCTAACACAAAATGGAGTCCATATTCTGATACAGGCAATCTCATAAATAATAATTTTATAGATATTGCAGAAACGCTTCACTTCCTCCTTTGTGGAGCCTCAAATGGGAGCTGTCAAGAACAAATTGACCTTGTTCCACGAAGTCCTCAAGAACTTTATGAGCTTACTTCTCTTATCTGGTAAGTTATGAAGCCCTAGGTTGGGTCTGGTAGGTATGTTAAAATCCATAACTCTTGTAAAACGAAGGCAAACAGCTTAGACTTTATTGTATACTTCTAGTAAAAGACTGTTTTAATGTTCTTTACAGTGAACTGATGCCTTGCCTGCCAAAAGAGGGAATCTTTGCTGTTGATACTATGCTAAAGAAAGGAAATGCGCAAAATACAGATGGTGCGATATGGCAATGGCGAGATGACAGGGGCCTCTGGCATCCCTATAACAGGATTGATAGTCGAATAATAGAGGTAGTAATTCCACACATTTGTGTGGTGATGCTTTTTAACTATGCGTGTGGTTGTATATGGAATTGAGTGCTTTCTTTATGCTTTTGAAAATACCAGCCTTGTTCTTTCTGAGTGAGAAACACATGAGTTTCCTCAGACCTCTGTAATATTGCACTATTTTGGCATTCAGTAATGGGTGTACTGCTTGGTCACTGTTGTTATTGTATTTCTGTCCCATTGTGGTTTTTTTTCTATGTTGCCCCTCTTATTATCTTTCATATAGCTTCCTATTTGTTAGGGATTTCTTAACTTTAAACTCTTCCTTGATTTTAGGCAGCTCATCAGGTTGGTGAGGATGAGATAAGCCTGTCTACTCTTGGGCGTGTCTATACGATTGATTTTAACTCTATGCAGCAAATAAATGAGGATACTGGAACAGCACGTGCCATTCAGCGAAAACCAAACCCTTTAGCCAATACAAACACTAGTAAGTAGAGTTTAGGAGACAACCTATTCTCTTTAGTGATGTCTAACTTATGCTGGGTTATACAGCAGTCTGCTACTTTGCTAATGTATAAACTTGTGGTTTCTGTGGAACATCAAACTATCCTGATTTATGTGAATGAAGACAGCTTTACAACAAAACTCAAACTGTTGAAATGCATTCTTTTTAACTTGTAAGCTCTTTTCCTGGGAACTGAAAATGCATTAAATTGGAAAAGTGAAGAAAAAAGATTCAGCTCCTTGAAAAAGGAGGATTTGTACCTACATTCTTGCCTTCAGTTTGACTGTTCGACTTCTGGTTCTTAAACTATATCTTTTTCAATTCAAGAGCTAAACTAATTCAGCTTTAAAAAAAGAAAGTAATCATCAGAGCAGAGATGCAAAGAACTATCCAGTGATGTTGCACAATTTCTCACAGGTGGACATTCAGAACTGAAGAAGGATGATGCTCGAGCGCAACTAATGAAAGAGGACCCAGAACTAGCAAAATCCTTTATCAAAACATTGTTTGGTGTTCTTTATGAAGTATATAGTTCTTCAGCTGGACCTGCTGTTAGACACAAGTGCCTTAGAGCAATTCTTAGGATAATTTATTTTGCTGATGCTGAACTTCTGAAGGATGTGCTGAAAAACCATGCTGTTTCAAGGTGGGCTTGTTAACAGTTGTGAATGAAACTAACTTTGAGCTTACAACTCAAACTTGTGATTACTTTTTTGGAATCGTCTTTTCCAGGGGAAAATTGTAGTTTAAAATTCTTATGTATTTATTGTCCAAAAGCTGAGGCTGTCAGCTCTTCAGGAATTTTTTTTCTCCTGAAATTTTACAGTAGGTGCCAACTATAGGTGTTCTAATTAGAAACTTAGATTACCTATATGGCTATGTGTACTAGTAATGTCTAATATTACTATTTCCTGTTTTTGTGATTTCTAAAACTTGCCTATAAACTTCCCTGAGGGCAAGATGACTCTTGAAGTAATAGAATGTGAGCAATAAGACTATTGTGGCATTCAACTGGTAAGGTCTAGTCATGAGACCTTTCCTATGTGATAATACAATAAAGTTAGGGATCTAGATAAAAGGATGCAATTAGAAAATAAACTGTCCAATTTTTCAAAGGCAGTATAAGGCTCCCAACATCGTGTTCTTTAAAAGAAAACTCTCATTTCTTTCATGCCATATGTTAAAACTTGGTGAAAGTGATTTAGGTGGGAAGAGGACTTTTTCAGTACTTTCATTTATATATTTCACAAAAGCACAATGGAATTTCTTTGCTTTCAGTCTCCAGTACTGTGTATGCAGGATGCACTGGTTGATTTTATTATATTTTTTTAAAACAACAGAAATGAAAACAAACCTAATTCTAATAAACTGTCTGTTTTAGTCATATTGCCTCCATGCTGTCGAGTCAAGACCTTAAGATAGTAGTTGGAGCCCTGCAGATGGCAGAGATTTTAATGCAAAAGCTACCTGACATTTTTAGTGTTTACTTCAGAAGAGAAGGTAAGTCTTGCTTGTTTTTTTTTCTCTTCACCTCCTTATTTAGTATTTTAAAAGCATGTGTGTGTAGAGAATCCATATCCTTTACCCCTCACTCCATCCCCTCCAAGCTGTAAAAAGTTAATATTATTCTTGAATAATAAAGGCAAATCCATGCAAGCATATTGTCATATGACTGGGGAGGAGCTGACTAAGACTCTGGAGGAGACTAGTTTGTTTTCTCTGAATCCAAAACAAGTTTATACAGGCTTACTAGACGCTAGTGAACATATATTTAGGCTGAAGATAGCTTGCTGAAATCACATGGATAATCTTACTGGACAAAACTGATGAATCTTTGGCAGGAAGTCTTTGTTACAATCTACTGGGAATTTTTTGGTTTCTTTAGCTACAGTGTGTGCTGCTGTGGTTTTGTTGTGGTTGTGTTATTTTTTTTTTTAAACTATGTAGGTCAACTTTTTCCAAGAAAGGATTGAATTGCTTTTAAAACTTAGTATTGATGGATGGGGCGAGCCAATGCTGCCATAGTCAAAACAGATGTTCTAATAACAGACTTCTACCTTTAAAAACACCTTTGTCCCCAGCCCTCTTCCAAAAGATCCCCCCCCCAGCCAACCAAACCAGCCCCCCAACCAAAGATTTCTTCTTTTGTGAAGGGGTGATGCATCAAGTGAAAAACTTAGCAGAGTCTGAGGCTTTGCTAACAAGCCCACCGAAAGTATGCACTAATGGATCAGGAACGCTGGGTACCGCAACAACAATAAGTACTGGAACAGCCATCGCTGCCAGTAATGCAGCTGCTGATTTGGGCTCTCCCAGCTTACAACACAGCCGGGAGGATTCTTTGGATTTGAGCCCACAGGGGTAAGTTCGCTATTTGTTGTGAACAAACAGTCTGTGGGTTTTCTGTTTGTGGGTTTTTTGGTGGTTGTTTTGTCGTGTGTTGTGTGGTAGGTTTTTTGTGTGTGGTTTTTTTTTAAGAAGCCTTAACTGCCATGGGCTGCTACAGCTATCACCTGCATTTTGCTGTGATATTTTCCTATGAGGAACTAAAATGGAGTGGTGTTGAAGCTATCAGTGGGTAGTTTTGATTCATTTTATATGAAATGTCTTTCTTTTTTTAAAACAGGACTAGCGACCTAGTGAAAAGAAGTGATCCTTAAGTTACTTTGAAATAAAACCATTTTGAACACTTGTAGAATTAATATCTCTTATAGGAATAAATTATTTTAGTGTTACACAATTTGCCTTTATTTTAAAGGTGAAATGTTTGTCTTAATGTACTGGCATAATAAGGAAACTCACCTTAAACGAGAATTGAAATATGTGAACTTGGGAAGTGTAGGGCTTGGTGAGTAAAACTCCATAAATTGTTGAAAAAGTGCTTTCTGGGCTTTAACAGTGGAGGCAGATCAAATACCCAGTGTCTTTTGGTGTTTGTTCAATAGAAATGTGTGTGTGCTTGGGGTTTTGGGGTTTTTTTTTGTTTGTTGTTTTTAGTGTATTTACATAAATGAATAACCAGATGGTTACACAAATGAAAACATGAAAACTATGTGAAACCTTTATTCAATTACATGGCTGGCTGTATTTAGCTCCCCATAGTAGAAAGGTGACAGCAAGCAAAACCCCTTTCAATTAAAATAGAGTTGAGGCCCTTTGAAAGCCTACTTTTCCCTTGTGTTCTCCTTGTTATGGGATGGAACCTTTCTTGAATTCTTGAGGAATAGCTGGCAGATGCATCCTAAACTGGGGGATGGGTATGTGTATGAATATGGTGAATAGAAACATGTTACTTTATTTTTAAATTTGGACAGACGACTGAGCGATGTTCTGAAGAGAAAAAGACTGCCAAAACGAGGGCCAAGGAGACCAAAATACTCTCCCCCAAGAGATGATGACAAAGTAGACAATCAAGGTAAATAATTCTTAAAATGTGATGCTCTATCTCCTTTTACATTTAAAAATAAGCTTATAGGCTGTCAAAAGTGCTAGCTGTAATAAACCTGTTGATTCTCTTAGTTTCGTCTTTGCTTTCTGCAGCTAAAAGCCCTACAACTACTCAATCTCCTAAATCTTCCTTCTTGGCAAGTTTAAATCCCAAAACGTGGGGAAGATTAAGCACACAGTCCAACAGTAATAATACTGAACCAGCAAGAGCAGCAGGAGTAAGTGGTCTTGCAAGGGCTGCTTCCAAGGATACCATTTCCAATAACAGGTACACACACAACAATGAAAATACTTCTAATATGGTGTTGACTTTGAAGTGTAGCTACTTTCTTATGATAAGCCATCAGGTGATTAAGTAGCACCTGTTAAGTTTGAACTTAACCACTGTTAAAATAACTCTGGAAGAAGAATGAAGAAGTTAAGGTAGAGAAAATAACTTCTTAATAGTTGAAAGTAGCATGCTGGGGGAAAAATGGGAGGATTGGGGAAAATGGTGCAAGAAGTAATCTGTAGAGGTTACACCTTTACTGTGTTTGGAGTAAGAGGGAAGGGCTTTTTTCTGTGACTGCTGTTAAATATGGGGAAAATGGTACTCTAGCTTTGTTAACTTGTAATATTGGAGTATGTAAATGCGAAGCGTGGCCAAATGCGTTTTGTGTGCTTCTTTACAGAGAAAAAATTAAGGGCTGGATTAAGGAGCAAGCCCATAAATTTGTAGAACGTTATTTTAGTTCTGAAAACATGGATGGAAGCAATCCTGCACTAAATGTATTACAGAGACTTTGCACTGCAACTGAACAACTCAACCTCCAGGTTAGGAATGGCAGACTTACTTGGAGTAGGGGTGGGAAAGGAGGCAGTAGAAGTATTTAGGAGGAAGCTAGAGGAAAGCTGTTTTTGACAGTACAGCCAATATTTTTAGCATAGTTTTTGATATCTTGAAGGATGATGCAGTGTGTCTTAACTTGCAATGGTTTGCTTGGGATTTTTTTTTTTTTTAGAATTAGTATATAAGCTCTGACACATCATTTATGATAAATGACTAGTATTAACAAGGATATTCTTGATTCCTGGCAATGTGTAAATTCCATGGCTTTTTATTTCAAACTTAAAAATTCTACAATTAAGTGCTAGGGAATGATTTTTATACCTAATGAAGAACACAGTTTGTAATAAGAACTTGGGGGGGGGGAGGGGGGATGGACGACAACAAGAGGGAAGTAGCACTTTGTTGAAAGGCTAGAAGAAATACAGATTGGGCTGAATCTACTAGCATCTCAATAACTTGAGCCTTGCTTCTCAGGCAGTGGTGATCCTTGATAGAGGGTCTAAACCTGGAACTTCTAAAGTAGCTAAACAGCCGAGTTAAGTTCTGTGCTTTGATCTAAGCAATCATTAAAATATGAAACTTTCTCTCTCACACACAGATGTCGTGTAAAACATATACCAATCTGAGATTTAAAAAAAAACAAAACCAAAACCAAAAAACCCAAACCTCTGTTTAGAACTCATATCTGTGTTGCATGAGGCAGAAATGGGACCTTGTATTTCTCTTAAAAAGGGGAAAATGTAGATGTTGCCTGTAATGTCTCCTCTTGAACAGAGAAATTGCTTATCCTCAGATTATTTGCCCTGTCACTTTTATTGAGTTACTATACACTTCAGACATTCCCTTCTTTTCCCTCCCTTTAGAGCTGTTCGATGCAGTGGGAGGAAAAATAGTATTTCTTAAGCCCTTAATACCTGGGTAGTAAAATATCGCCTTCACATTTTTCAGGTGGACGGTGGAACAGAGTGCCTTGTAGAAATCCGTAGCATTGTCTCGGAGTCTGACGTCTCCTCATTTGAAATCCAGCATAGTGGGTTTGTTAAGCAACTGCTGCTTTATTTGACATCTAAAAGTGAGAAAGATGCTGTAAGCAGGGATATCAGATTGAAAAGATTTCTTCATGTATTTTTTTCTTCTCCAGTAAGTTTTCTTGTTTATTGTTACGTCATTCTTAGTTGTCTGTCTCTCAAATTGTACTTATCTGACCATCAGAGAGGTTCAGCAATGACCTTCACTTAAAAATGCAGTACAGGAGCAATGTTTTGTTTATGCCTAGCTGTGTAACATGACCACTTTCACATGGTTCTATGTTTTTACAGGTCATTAAACTTTTTAAAATACACTGCAATTACAGAAAATTTCATGCAGCAGTGGAAAAAAACTCCAAAATGGCGAATTGTCTGAGTCTTGAACAACTTAAAGTTGTTCCTGACTTTTAATAAGTTGATATGGAAAGAGTTTGGATAGTGATCTTGTCACTTGTTCTCCTTAGTCCTAAATGCTGCAAGAAACTAGATTGTCCTGTTTTTAAAGGAAGAAATTTGAAGTGGAAGAGGAAAGTAGATAACTACAGCTTCCATGAAGCTTACTGCTCGTGGTTAAGGGTGAATACTTAAAATCTGTAGAGCTACTTGGCTGAAACCAGGAGGGAAAAGTGCATTCTTTAAAACAGGTCTTTCATAAACTTATGCGTCACCTGGTCATCGTGATACTGCTGTTACCTTATGTGAGAGTAGTGACTCTTGGTTTATGTGTTTTGTGTGTGTGTGTGGTTTTTGTTTTTTTAAACAACTTGTGGTATAAATTGTTTAAGATGGATTAATTCGAGCACATAACTAAAAGACTGGAATGTATTTCAGCTTCCTGGAGAAGAACCCCTTGGAAGATTAGAGCCATTAGAAAATGCACCTTTGTTGGCATTAGTCCATAAAATGAACAATTGCCTCAGTCAGATGGAACAGTTTCCTGTTAAAGTGCATGACTTCCCAAGTGGAAATGGAACAGGGAGCAGGTAAGGATTAATGCTCAGGTAACAGTTTTGTTGGAAGCTTTTGTTTTCAAAAACTTGTTTCAACACTAAAAGTTCCAAGAGGTAATGGAAACTTTTGGCCCTATTAAAGACAAAAGCAATTACACAGTTGGCTTTTTTCTTCAGTGGAAGATTGAATATTTAACCAAATGCCTGCTTACCACCTTAAAACTTCTCTCACTTAGATTGGGGATGAATGTGTAATTTTAAATGCAATCTCTAAATTTAGGCTTTAAAAATTCAAATGTCTTCCTTGTCCCCATGTAACAAACACAGGAAAGAAATAATCTGTTTATTGCTGAGACACTGATATTTTTAGTGAAGTAATTAAACTGCTGAGTGTTTGTATTACAGCGCTAAACCTTGTTATTCAGATAGGTTCTGTTCTCTAGGATGATAATGGATTGAGTGATAATTGTTGGCTGTCAACATAGTTTAAAATAATTCTAGACCTGCCCTGTGTCTTAGGACAGATTAAGCTTGGAATCCAACTTGTTATTTGCGTTTTAAGTAACAAATTTGAGTGACCGAAGACCTATTTCTGCTATTTCTTTTCTGTACTTTTATTTAATAAATCTACACTATTTTTCATTCAGTGTATAGTGGTTAGCAAGTCTGTTTCAGTAGAAGTTGTATATAGGTTTTGAGAGTATTTTTGTGTTCCTAGCTAAAAGCACAGTTTGGTTGTAGACACATTCTACATTTCTATGTAGAAATTAGGAGGGGAGGAGCATTAAAAATGAGCTTTTGAAAATTATTATTAAAGTTTGAAATGCCAAAATCTTGTGTCTCCTAGTAATAACATAGTGTGGATTTTTTGTCTCTAATTGTGACACAACATCCATTATAGGAGATGTATTAGAGCCTCACGCTACAGCATTAATCAACCTTACATTGAAATTCAATACTTGTTTTTTGTGAAACTGTTAAAATCCATGGGAAAGAATGCAATACATAGATTTCTAATACTTGAAGGAATTAATTGTCTTGATACTGGATCTTGCTAATTGTATGTGCTCCATAATCTTATAACGCTTCCTGATATATGCTATTTGTGTAAGAAGCGGGGTAACTACAGAAGTTAGAAAGCTGCTGATCATAGAAGCAAAATTCTGTTATTCTTTTTGATAGAAAATTAAACATGGAAAGTCAGGCTACTGCAGCATTGTTTGACTCCTAGTCTTACTGTGGATTATGTCAATGAGGATTTTGAGGCATTAAGATTTGGTAGTCTTTCGTTAGCACCTGGAAATAGAAGCAGCCCAAGATAAGAGGTTTGTGTATAAAAGTGGCTAGCTTGAGTATTGATAGTTTGGTGAGATGGACTATTCTTGGCAAGAAAAAACAGAGGAGCTTTCAGGTTGTCTCTATGTCCTTAGTAAAAAACACATGAATGGATACTTGCATTTTCTACCATCAATTCTGATCCTAACTGTACTGCAGGTAAACACAGCTCTAAATCTCATGTGCCATCAGCTGACCACTGAACAACTTCAGACCTTAGAGATGCTCAGTATAGGCCACTCGTAATCAGACATCAGACTGGACTTTCTCTTAATCCAAGTAGCTTCCGTTGGAAATCAGATTTTGTCCAACTTGGATTCTGGTGTTCTTGTGGAATAAAATTTTTAATGTTTATCCAAACCTCAGTAGCTTTTTTTTTTTAGAGAAACAGACTGAGAAATAATACTCTGAACAAGCGAGTTTGTAAATGCATGTATAAACCTATTTGAATGCATTTTTTAATGCAATTATGGTTATTTAGATTCTTTGTGTAGCAACTTTTTTCACAAATTATTTTGAGTTTTTCTCTTAACAGAGGATCCCAAGCTTTAAAATTCTTCAATACACATCAATTAAAATGCCAACTGCAAAGACATCCAGACTGCGCTAATGTGAAACAGTGGAAAGGTGGACCTGTGAAGATTGATCCTCTGGCTTTGGTACAAGCCATTGAAAGATATCTTGTAGTTAGAGGTATATATATATTATACAGTCACATGTGTGTTGCTTTTTGGAGTAGTCACTTCTGTCAGTAGTGTAGAGTCTGTAAAAACCTGTGAGGATTATACTGAAGACAAATAGGGGAGGTACCTATAAATGTATCTTGCTCATGGGGGAGGAGACTAAGGCTGTGGAGAATCTTCTCTTTTCTGGGACAAACTTTTTCCTCTTGTAAACAGTTCAGTCTAAATACTAACAGAAGTATAATCTAGTTGACTGTCAGATTGGCTGTAACCTGGCATTTTTGATGCCAGATATCGATACTGAAATTTGTTCTAACACCTCTGAACCTTACTTTTTTTCAACTGATGTATTTTGGAACTGTTTTAAACAGTGGAGTTTATAGAAGTCAGAGTACAAAAGCATTGCTACATTTCATGTGAAAACAAATGTGGGTGTCCTTCTCTCTTGCCTCAGGCTATGGAAGAGTTAGAGAAGATGATGAGGATAGTGATGATGATGGGTCAGATGAAGAAATAGATGAATCTTTGGTAAGTTTTTGCTCTGGGGGGTAAGAAGAGGGAAGGGTGTGGGGAGAGTCTTAAAGAAAAGCTAGCAACAAGTTTCCTAACTTGTGTGTGGTTTTTGGGTGTGTGTGTTTTTTTTTTTTGTTCAGGCTGCTCAATTCTTAAATTCAGGGAATGTGAGACATAGACTGCAGTTTTACATTGGAGATCACTTACTGCCATACAATATGACTGTGTATCAAGCAGTTAGGCAGTACAGTTTGCAAGCTGAGGAGGAGAGGGAGTCTACAGATGATGAAAGCAACCCATTAGGAAGAGCTGGGATTTGGACAAAAACGCATACCATTTGGTAAGTTGGCCACAGAAATCGGGGCACGACAAGTCCAGTTTCCTAGATGTATATACATAAAGAAAAAATGGAATACAGCTGTCCTTCTCCACTCTTCTCCCTCCCCCCGCAACCTGAAGCTTTGAATTTCCTGATGTGCTTGGGCTACTTAAATCTTAGTAAGAATTCAGTTCTAGCCACTGATATTCTTTCTAGCTCATCAGCAAAGCTAATGAACAGGAAGTGGGGAATCTTAAATGATACCTGCTAGATTGAGTGAAATCATTCTTAGTGTTAGGTAACTAACAAACAATAAAGAATGTGTCTGCAGTCTATAAATAATGGTCAACTTCATACTGGTTTTCATAGTTGATTGCTGTGCAGGTGTTTGTATTCTCTGGCTATGCTTTGCAAGGAGCAGTATTGGCCTATGACTGTGCCAAACATTTTAATGTTCAGCAGTGTCTTTTTCTTTCTAATATTTAAATGTGTTACGCAAAAGCAACAACAACAAAAAACCCCGAACACTTTGTGGTTTTGTCTATACCTTCTGCTTCTCTTCTTCCAGTTCATGGAGCCGGAGAGTCCCCATTTTTTCTCTCCCATGACATACTTTGCTTCTGAGGCCTAGCTTCAAAGGCTGGATCATATCCAAATGCATTGTTCTTGTCTTTCTGCTTTTAACTGTCATTCACGTAAAATTCTGGTAATCAAAGAACTAACACTTTTATAATGGCTTTTGTTTCCATGTAAGTTAGTATTTCACAAACATGTCTTCAACTTTTAATTACTTCTTAGGTACAAACCTGTGCGAGAGGATGAAGATGGTAGTAAGGACTGTGTTGGTGGTAAAAGAGGAAGAGCACAAACTGCTCCCACGAAAACCTCCCCTAGAAATTCTAAAAAACATGATGAATTGTGGCATGGTGAGTGTGTTGCCTTGCTCGTATGTTAGACTTGTGGAATTTCTGAAAGAATGGGGAGGAAGAGTGTTTAGAGACACCACAGTGTTTCTTTTAAAGCAAGCATAGTATAGGAAAAGTAAACATATTTATGTGTGTGTTAAAACTGGTAATAAGATACTTGCTGAATTGTCTTACTAAACTGTTGTAGTTAAGTGAATGCCGTGACTAATACTACCTAGGGTCCTAATAATTAAATCTTGGAAAGACTTCTAATTCATTTGTTCTGATAACATATTCTTTTTTCTTGCTAGACGGTGTATGCCCTTCGGTATTAAATCCTCTAGAAGTTTACCTCATATCTACTCCACCTGAAAACATAACATTTGAAGATCCCTCATTAGACGTTATTCTTCTTTTGAGAGTTTTACATGCTATCAGTCGATACTGGTATTACTTGTATGATGTGAGTAGAACACTTTTTAAATCTTTCTTACTTGATACAGACAACTCTGTCCTGAAACACCTTAAAACAGCTTTCTTCTCCCTCTCTGCTGCCCCACACCAAGACAGAATAATGAGAATACTATTGTCTTACCCTATCTATTTCTCTTAACTTCTGGTAAGGTGAAGGCTATAAATTCTTGGAGTCAATCATATTTCCTCTATAGTGTGTTAAACACATTTTCCATGCTTTTTCCTTCCTTAAGTTCAAAAAGCAACATTAGTCCTGAAAAGAAAATGAATAATAAAAATTTACTCAGTTTTTCTTTCATGGCTTAGGCTCTGTATGACCAAAGTGACAATGAAAGTTGTTTTTTTGTTTTTGTTTTTTTTCCTCTTGTGATAAGCAAATTAGAAGCATAAAAAGCCCTCTTAACAAAGGCTTGGTATTTCTTCCAGCATTTCTTTAACTAGAAGTACATTTTTTTTTTTTTTACTTTATTTAACACAGAATGCAATCTGCAAGGAGATTATTCCAACCTCAGAGTTTATCAACAGTAAACTGACAGCAAAAGCAAACAGGCAGCTTCAGGATCCTTTGGTAATTATGACAGGAAACATACCAACTTGGCTGACAGAACTTGGAAAAACATGGTATGAATGACTTAGTGTGGTATTTCTAATTGGAGTTCAGTAGGCCTCCTGGCTGGGCAGCCCAGCTGCATCATCTGTTACAAGGCTCTTGAAAGTGCTGGGGGAGAGTAAAATGTAGTCACAGAAATCTTGCTAAGCTACATAGTGACACTTGGATAAATGTTTACATCGATGTTGCCTAGTTTAAACCAAATATGGGGGGGTAGGCTAGCTGCAAAGTTTGGACTCTTTTTACAGGAGTTTCTGAGCAATTTGAAGTTTTCATATTGAAATAATAGTACTTGATTATTCAAGTATTTTTTTTCTCCTGTTAAACTGCTTAATGGCATTTTTGTCATACTACCACATTTATCTTAGCATATTCAATATGGTACAAAGGAAAATATTTTTATAATTGCTGATAAAATATTATGAATAATTTTTATGAAGTTATATTCATAGTGCTTTGTAGTATCTTCATACAAAATATAAGCTATAAAACTCCTGTGCTTGCAATAATGAGAAATCAGAGGTGCTTGAAAAAAATCTAAGAATGTCATATTAATTGAAGCAACATTGGTGATAATTGACTGGAAATACATACTCTAGAGAAACTATTTGTTTTTTCAATTTTAAAATAAGATCTCTAAATTTCTTCATAAACTTTCCAGATAACAAATGATGAGTATGAATGTATATTCTTACACAAACATCTGTAGCAGTATTTGTAAAACTGCTTTTTCACTTAAATGTCAGTGGAGGTCTGCACTCTTAATGTACACATGCCTTCAAGAATAGTAGAACTGATAAAATAGTAAGTTTCTCCAGTAGTCTTTCACAGATTATTTAAAGTGTTTTTTGGAAAATGGTGGGAGGTAGAATGCTGGTGCTGCTGTAGACAGGTTCTTATCCTCTTATCCGCCGCCCCCCCCC